GGAGAAAAGATTGAAGTTGTCAAGGACTTCATTCGTCTTGAATCAACTATCAACACTCATGGAAGCAGCAGTCAAGAAATTAAACAATATATTGCATTAGGCAAATCTGCTGCACAAGACTTGTTTTAAGCGTTGAAGAGCACAGATGTCAGCTTGAGGACTAAGGTGCGCCTGACCCAAGCCATGGTATTTTCAATTACCTCATATGCAAGCGAAAGCTGGACAGTGAATAAGGATGATCGTAGAAGAATTAATGCTTTTGAGTTATTGTGCTGGAGGAGAATATTGAAAGTTCCATGGGCTGCCAAAGGAACCAATGGATTCGTGTTGGAAGAAGTGCGGGCAGAATGCTCTTTGGAGGCCAGGATGGCCAGACTGCACCTCTGATACTTCTGACATATTGTCAGGAGGTACCAGTCTCTGGGGAAGTATATGTTTGGTAAGGTGGAGGGTCAGAGAAAAAGAAGAAGACCCCCCAGCAAGATGGGTTGGCAGAGTGGCAGCATCAATGGGCTCAAGCTTGGCAATGATTATGAGGTTGGCCCAGAATCGGGCAGTGTTTCACTCAGTTGTGCATAGGGTCAATATGAATCAGTATTGACTCAGTGGCACCTAACAACAACAACCCTGTCCTGTAGGGTCGTTATAAGTTGGAATTGATTTGATGGCAGTGGGGGATATTCTGATGAGATTTTTGGTTTGTGAGATCTGTGTATTTCCAAGTAATGATAATTGTAGTGAGTTTTAAGCAGATACCAGACAGACAGCGGAGGGAAGTTTGGGAGGGTGGAATGAAGAAAATAGGACTAACGTGTGCTGAGACCCTGGCATGTAGGAATGAAATTGGAGGCCGTTGGTAAAGCATGTATGAGCCATACATTGGGGCTTAAACTCCATCTTTGGGAACTATTAGACGATTTCAAGCAATAATAAATTACCTGATAAGGTTAGGGGTTAGAAAAACTTCACTCTAGACATGGTAATTGGAAATAGAATTTCAATTTCAAAGACTTGGTATGGCTCTGTGGGTTAATGCTCCAGATTGCAAAGTTGGTTTGAACCACAAGGTCGATGGTTCACACTCACCAGTTGATCCTTGGAAATCTTGTACAGAGTCACTATGGGTTGGGACCAACTTGACAGTACTTAATAACAATAACAACAATAGGAGAACATTAATCTACATTTTATACTAAAGTTTGTCATAATTGAATTAGATTTGAGTATTGCTTTGCTTTGTTTTTCAAAAATGAGACAGTTAAATAATTCAGACTTATAAGTAATCTTATTTGGTGTCGGGGGGTGTATCATATGTTTTTCAGGGTTGAGAACTTTATGCTTTGCTGTGGCTGAGATTTCAGAGAGCGACTTTCAGGAGTGGCGAGCTGTCTATCAGCGGGCGTCAACATCTGTGCAGAACAGGCTGCTCAAACTTGAAGAGAGTTATGAGTTAATTGAAAAGGTAAGTAAAAGACTGTTTTGCTTTTGCACTCAGTTTGGCTTCCAGAAAATTTCTGTCTTGTTTCCAGGAATCAATGGAATAAAAAGCAAAATGTCTTGTCTTGACACATCACTTCCTATGGAATTTCCTCTCATTGTCTGAGAAACCTTAATACGTAATGTTTCTGGTGAAAAGTCTTTGGAATAAGATGTTACTTTCTATAGGTCTTCACTCTTCCCCTAGTTTTAGATCATGGTTAGGCTGCCTGGCAATTTCCTTTCCATCATTTCATTTCTTCTGTATCTCTGAGGGCATGACACATGTCTATACACACACATGCACACAGCTACTGTCATACCATGCTTATATACATAGAACTAACACATGTACATAGTATGCAATGTAAAATGATATAATTATAATATACAGCTGTGTGGCTACATATTTTCCCACTGCCATCGAGTCGATTCTGACTCACGGAAGCCCTATTGGACAGAGTAGAACCGTTACACAGGGTTTCCAAGGATGAGGAACAAACAACCTCATCTTTCTCTCACGGAGTGGCTGGTGGGTTTGAACTGCTAACCTTTTGATTAGCCGCCCAATGCTTAATCCACTGTGCTACCAGGGTTTGTTCCTCATGTGATTTCAATGCTTGCAATAATGCTATAATTAGCTATGTGGCATTGCTTCTAATATTTGTACAAATACTAGCTAATATTATTAGAAAGTATTTACACTTGGTCAGACACTGTACTAAACTTACATACATATATCATTTCTGTGTACAACATAAATATCCTCATTTTCAATATTGTTGTTGTAGTTGTCAGGTGCCATCGAGTTGGAACCGACTCATAGCGAGCCATGCACAGCAGAACGAAACAGTGTCTGATCCTGGGCCATCCTCACTACCGCTGCCACATTTGAGTCCATCAATGATGCCACCTGGCCAATCCATCTCGTTAGGGGTCTTCCCCTTTTTCTCTGACCCTCCACCTTACCCAGCATGACATCCTTCTCCAGCGACTGTTTCATCCGGATAATATGTCCAAAGTATGAGAGACGAAGCTTAGCCATCTTGGCCTCCAAGGAGCGCTCTGGCTGCACTTCTTCCAAAATAGATCTATTGGTTCTTTTGGCAGTCCATGGCACTTTCAGTATTCTCCTCCAACACCACAACTCAAAGGCATCAATTCTTCTATGATCTTCCTTATTCACTGTCCAGCTTTTGCATCCATATGAGGCTATTGAAAATACCATGGCTTGGTTCAGGCTCACCTTAGTCCTCAAGCTGACATCTCTGCTCTTCAATACTTTAAATATAAGCTAAGGCTATTCTGTCAGATACTCAGATTGGTGCTAAGTAAATAGCAAGAAATACTACTTTCTTAAGAGAGGTGAACTTTTAATGTGTCAGGTGCCATTTGAAGCAATTTCACATGTTAATTTATTATTCACCACATCCTTGAGGCTGTTGTTGTTGTCGAGTGCCTTGGAGTCGTTTCTGACTCATAATGATCCTGTATAGGGTTTCTGAGGAACGATTGGTCAGTTTGAATCATTGACTTTGCAATTCAAACAAACCTTTTGGTCTAGTGCCTATCTACAGTGCCAGGTTCTGTCAAATATCCCTACTTTAGGTGAAGAAACCAAGGCAACAGATTTCAGTAACTTGGGCAAAATTGTACAGCTAACAAGAGGATGAGCTGGTAATCTCACTCTGACTTCATGGTTTGTGCTCATGATCACTCAAGAATCCTCATTCTACACTTTGGCTGATAAATAATTCTCCACCTCTCCTCATGGATTCAAGCTTGCCTGTTAGCCCATAGTTTACTTCTTTTCGCCTCTAGACAAGTAAAGGCTGTCATATTTTTCCTGCTTTATCTTTGTCAAGCCATCTACTTCCTGCCCTGAAAGGCATTTGGCACAAGTGACACTTCCATGAAAGTGCTCTTCATTTCACTTCCTACATTGTCTTTCCCACCCCCCAATCCTACTGGGGAATGCCATGCTCCAGCTACTGCTTGTCATCTGTGGCTCTAGATGTTTTCTTATCTCCTCGGTGAATTGTGATTCCTTTCAGAGCTGGTTTGCCTCTCCTACCTCCTTTCTGTTTTAATATGATTTTGTATCCTCTGTATTTCTAAGAAGACTTGGAATCGCCTACAAAGTACTTTCTGACTGGTTTCTCTACCTCCACCCCAGCTTAATGCTATGTGCACAGCAGAGAGCGTGGTATATTGATCATATTATTGAATCTTTTTTTTTTTCTTTTTTGCTACTTCCTAACATACTTATATTTAGCTATTTCCCTAGGATGCTAGGTGGAAAAATAAAGTGAGGCCATAATAGTATGAGAGCTCTTTCATTCTCTTTCTAGCCAAAGTTGTTGTAAAGTGCCCATGATGTTGCTTTTTAAACTTTTACTTCTCCTATACTTTTGAGAAGTACAAAAACAAAAGGTTGCCCTGTTTGAAAATGATTCTTGCCTTTTCTCCTTTTCTAGACTATCTAGATATAATAGAACCTTTTCTTCCATTGTGGTGCTGTTGTTAGGTGACATTGAATCCATACTGACTCGTAGTGACACAGTGCACAACATAACGAAACACCGGCTGGTTCTGTACCAATCTTAGAATCTCTGCTATGCTTGAGCCCACTGCTGCTGCCATGGTGCAGTCTATCTCGCTGGGGGTCATCCTCTTTTTCACTGATCCTCCACTTTACCAAGCATGATGTTCTTCTTGGACTGGTCCCACCTAGAGACAAAGTTAGGCCATCCTTGTTTCTAACAAGCATTATGACTGTACTTCTTCCAACACAGATTTGTTTGTATTTGCAGTCCATGGTACCTTTAATACTGTACTGCAACACCATAACTCAAATGTGTCAATTCTTCTATGGTCTTCCTTATTTATTGTCCACCTTTCATATGCATATGAGGCCATTGAAAAATACCATGCTTTGGGTTAGGCACACCTTAGTCTTCAAACTGACATCTTTGCTCTTGGACATTTTAAAGAGGTGTTGTGCAGCAGATTTGTCAAATGCAATACGTTGCCTGATTTCTTAACTGCTGCTTCTATAAGTGTTGATGGTGGATCCAAGTAAAATGAAGTCTTTGACAAATTCAATCTTTTCTCTTTTTAAGATGATGTTACTTATTGGGTATGGTAGTGAGGATTTTTGTTTTCTTTACAATGAGATGCAACCCATATGGAAAAATGTGGTCTTTGATCTTCATCAGTAAGCATTTTAAGTCCTTTTCACTTTCAGAAAGCAAAGTTGTATCATCTTCATATTGCAGGTTGTTAATGAGTCTTCCTCAAATCCTGGTGCCACATTCTTCTTCTCATAATCCAGCTTCTCAGATTATATATTCATCATACAGATGGAATAAGTATGGTGAAAGAATAAGAACTCTCGTGTACAACTTTCCTGATTTTAAATCATTCAATGTCCCTTTGTTCTGTTTGAACAACTGTTCTTGGTCTAGTTACAAGTTCCTCATTACCACAATTAAGTGGTCCGAATACTCAGTCTCTACAATGTTGTCCATAGCTTGTCATGATCCACACAATCAAAAGCCTTTGTGTAGTAAATAAAACACAGGTAAATATCTTTCTGTTATTCTCTGCTTCTAGTCAAGATCCATCTAACGTCAGCAATGATATCCCTCATTCCACATCCTCATCTGGATCTGGCCTGAATGTCTGGAAGCCCCCTCTCAATGTACTGTTGAAGCCATTTTTTAAAATCTCTTTAGTGAAATGTTTCTTGCATGCAATATTAATGATATTGTCCAATGATATCCACTGGGTCACCTCTCTTCGGAATGCGCACAAATAATGAATCTTTTTCCTGTCAGCTGGCCAGGTAGCTGTCTTCCCAATTTTTTGGCATAGATGAGTGAGTGCCTCAGTGCTGAATCAGTTTGTTCAAAGATTTCAGTTTGTATTCCATCAATTCCCAGACCCTTGTTCTTTGCCAATGTCTTCATTGCACCTTGGATTTCTTCTTTCAGTACCATTGGCTCTTGATCATATGCTACCTCTTGAAATGGTTGAACATCAATCAATTTTATTTTTTCATTTTTTGTGTGTACAGTAACTCTATGCTTCTTTCATCTTCTTTAGATGCTTTCTGCATCATTCAGTATTTTGCTGAAAGAATCCTTCAGTATTTCAAGTCAAGGTTTGAATTTTTTCTTCAGTTCTTTTAGCTTGAAAAATGCTGAGCATGTTCTTCCCTTTCAGTATTCTTACTCCAGGACTTTGCACATTTAATTTTAATATTTGGCTTTGTCTTCTCAAGCTGCCCTTTGAAATTTTATAATCAGCACTTTTTCCTCCTAACTTCTTCCATTTGCTTTAGTATGTCTACACTTGATAGCAAGTTTCAGAGTCTCTTCTGACATACATTTTGTTATTTCTTTCTTTGTCTGTTTATTGGCCTTTTGCTTTCTTTTTGCATGATGTTCTGTGTACCATCCCACAACTCTTCTGGTCTTCAGTCCTTAGTGTCTAATTTATCAAATCCATTCTTGAGCTGATCTCTAAAATCAGGTGGAATATGTTCAGTGTCATATTTTGGTTCTCATGTAGTTGTTTTAATTTTCTTCAGCATCAGCCTGAACTTGCCTATGAGCAATTGGTGGTCGATTCCATAGTCTGCCCCTATGTAGTTTGGGCCAGTGATAGGGAACTTTTCCACCTTGTCTTTCTACAAATGTAGTCAATAGATTTCTATTTATTCCATCTGGTGAGGTCCATGTGTATAGTCATCTTTTATGTTGAAATGAAGAAGTCATTGGTCTTGAAAAATTCTGTCATGTAATCTCCAACATCATTTCTATAACCAAGGTCACATTTTGACTACTAAGCTTTCGTCTTTGTTTCCAAGTTTATCATTTCAAATACCAGTAATTATCAGCACATCTTGATTGCATGTTTGATCAATTTCAAACTGAAAAAGTTGGTAGAATTCTTTAATTTCATCATCACTGACTTTAGTGG